TGCTTCCATTCTGGAAAGTTCTAGAGAAGAAGCAGAGACAGCATTTGGGTACTACCGAGTGCGAAGGCCAGATAGCAGGAATCTGTAGGACAGGAACATTGTAAGATAGACACAGGGAGATGCTTGTGTACTGTGGTAGCAGGGCTGTCAGATACTGAAACGTAAACAGAGATGCAGAAATTCCTAGGTCACAAGCCTGAAGGAATGGCGATACGCAGGGTGTTGATAGTAGCATCTTCATCTGTGCACGATGAAGGATTCCTTATTTTTATATATATATATATATTTTTTTTTTCTGAAGGAGAGGTGTTTGGATCAGAGCCAGAAGTTCTTGGTGCTAAACTCCCGTTTCTTCTCTTGTACCCTGCGTGAAACATAGCAAGTGCCTCTTTAGTCCCAGAAAGTGTAAAAGAAATTCTGGCTTCACACAGCATGTTGCAGGTTTCTATCGCTTTCTCAAAAAAAAACAAAGAAAAAAATCCTAAATGCACCAGTATTCACTGTATGTGTCTTATGCTGCTTCCTTTCTTCTTGCTGAAAGAAAAGAAGTGTCTAGCTGGATACGTTGCTAATGAGCATGAAGGAATTCGTTATGGATCACCTAGGAAGAGTCATGCAAAGCCCTCCAGGTATTTCTTGGGTGCCCAGTGGGGTGCTCAGGAATTTCCGAACTGGGGATTGGAGAAACGCACCTGCTGACTGGGGAGCTGTCGAGGATGAACAAGATGGGAAGTACATCTAAATGTCCTATCAGGGAGCGTAGCAATAGGACGAGGTAATGATTTTAAACTAATAAAAGATTGATTTAGCTTAACCATTAAGAAGAAATACTTTACTGTGAGAATGGTGAGGCACCAGTTTTAGGATGTTAAAGCCTTTGCTTCCCAAAAGAAACTAACATAGCTGATGTTGTAAAATGCTTCTTGGCTAAAAATAATTTAACCATTTGGACCTCTGTGTCACACTCACCCTCTCTTGAAAGACAACACTGTAGACTTTTTATGTCAGTTGGCATTTACACCACACCAGAATCTTGAATTTTCTGCTCTCAGTTTGTCTTGACTAATGCCAACCACGGCTATTTGCAATAGTGTATCTGCCTGCTTAACATTTTTTATATCTAACCTGCAACATGCCTCTCAAAGGAGTATTTTAATCTCATCTTTCTTCATCCTTAATCTACATTGGCTTTTCTGCATCTGCCCTCCCCCCCCAGCATCAATAGGATTTTCAAACATAAAGAGGAGGAGGGGGAGCTAGTGAGAGGAGTGAACAGTGCAAACAGTGCCTTCCTATTTCAGGGAATAGAAAGGTAAGCATCTGGGCTTAACTTGGACAGATTTTGAGATGACTGATGGAAATAAACTGTGGTGCAGAGGAATTTCCTGTTTCATCCTTTTAAAGAAAAAGGGTGATGTTTGCAGGGGAGCAGAAGTGCCAATATTTTCTTTATCGTTTACAATGTTCTTCAGATGTAAATATTTTCAATAATAATATATAATCTTGGTTATAAACTAGAAATGTACTCAAATTTCAGAAACTAGAATTTACCTATAACTTAGTATAGCAAAATGGACACTGCATAGCATCGTGATAGTTTTGAGCAAAAGATGAAACAGAAGAATCTCTGTCTGTTTCCTTGTTTAGTAATTAATTGCTTCAGCTGAAGTCCTGTTTCACACAATGGTTTTCTGGTCTGTGTGTGTTATTATAACAGAAATAATACCCAAGGTTTTCAGATAAAGGATGATGGCTAAATTACTGCCATTACCAGATTTCCTGTCTGCCTAATACTGGGTTCAGAGATGTATTTACGTGAATGGAAATGAACTTCAGGGTAGCAATACTGAAAAGGCACACGAACAGCTGACAAAGTAGGAGGTATTCATGTGTTCAAGTGCTTGCACGAGGCCATGGGTCTTGTAGCTGGCCTCATGGTAGGTCTATGAACATTGGCTTCTTTTATTTTAGAGATGTGCTTTGATCATTTCTGTTATGACAATGAATTTGGGGAAATAAAAATTTGGTGTACAGTGATGATTATCTTCAAAAGGGTCTTTGAGCATGTGGAGAATGCAGGAGGAAAAACACAAGGTATGCAGAGCAACTGTGGCAGCTGTGTGAGGGGTCAGTAAGTGAGGGGCCAAGGGTCCTGATGCCATGCAAGCGAGTTCCAAACTAAGCTGTTGAGTCCATGATTTGAGGTGTAACAACTATGTGCCCAGCTTGAGAGCCAAGAGGGCCTCTTCTAGGGCTGGAGGAGTGTGGCTGGTGTGCTCTTGTCTATGGCTGCCACTCGTTACTAATCTTCTGGTAGTGGTCTGTGTCAGTTATCTGATCAACACTGTATAAAGTTGAATGACCGTGCTGGAAAGTAAATGCAGGTTTTCCACCCAATGTGTTTGGATGTAAGAGGTCTGAATTATAATAAAAGAATTGCCTCTTTAAGGGATGAAGGCCAGTGCTTGAGGTGTCTGTAAAAAACAAACAAACAAACAAACTGAAGTCTCTTTGAGAACATCTCAGACATGGTTTAAAGAAGTAATCTGGTCAAAGTAGCTATTATGTCTTAATCCAAAGCCATTAGTAGCTCTCCTCTTCTAGAATGGACGTTGCTTTTTTAAATGATCCATAACCTTGCCACATTTTATCTCTGCATACTTTTTTTCTACTGTTCATTATTCTGTCCCCACTGTAAGCCCAAATGCCTCTGTCCCAGAGGGTCTCTTGCTATTTTAACAGTTGCATAGTGTCAGGTCTCTTTTGGTAGGTTAGGCCATTTGCTTGGGATTGCTCAAGAAGCTGAGTGCATAGTGGGAAAATCAGGTGAATTTACTCTGTTCTCCCTCTTGCTAATTAGTGTTAGACTAAGGATAGCATAGGATGGAATAGTTCAGTTGGAAGGTGCTTACAGTGGTCATTGATTCCTACTGCCTGACCGCTTCAGGGCGAGCCAAAAGCGAAGCCATATTAACAAGGACATTATCCAAACATCTTTTGAACACTGGCAGGCGTGGGGCATCAACCACCATGCTGGGAAACCTGTTCCAGAGTTTAATCTCTCTCATGATAAAGAAATTTTTCCTAATGTCCCGTCTGAACGTCCCCTGGCATAGCTGTGTGCCATTCCCACGTGTCCTTTCATCGATTACCGGGGGGAAGAGACGGGCACCTCCCTCTCCACTTCCCCTCCTCAGGAAGCTGTAAAGAGCAACGTGTTTGCCTCTCAGCCTCGCTTTCTCCAAGCTAGAGAGACCAAGTGTCCTCAGCCTCTCCTCCCAGGACATGCCTTCCAGCCCTCTTATCAGTTTTGTTGCCATCCTCTGGATGCTTTCAAGTACCTTAATGCTCACTTTATAGTCGCGGAGCCCAGAGCTGTACACAGTATTCAAGGCGAGGCCATGCCATCACTAAATACACTGAGGCAATCATCTCTTTTGCCCAGCTGGCTAAGCTGTGCTTAATGCGGTAAAGTAAAATGAATAATGTATTTCCTGCCTTGGTGGTTATGGCTGTCGTGTGATGTCCTTTTTCTGCTGCTTTCTGTTCTGTTCTTTCTTCACCCCCACAAACAAAAGCCTTCACAGAGCTCCAGAAGTGCGTGTGTGATGCTCGCATGCTGGGGTGGCTGTGCCAGCACCAGGGCTAATTTTATTTAGTCTTATGTCCCTGGAAGTGAACTCTGAGGTTGAGGAGGCACTGCCATAAAATACTGAAGGTCAACATTACATTGACAGTGGCTCTGTCAGTGTAATGTAATGATTATTTAATGTAGTGTAGTTCTTGTAGGTGATGGCTGACATACAAAAATGTGTTATGCTGCAGGTTGGGAATGGCTTCTGGCTGGTTTTGCCTCCTTTGTATGGCAAAGAAAGGATTTAACTGGGTGCAGTACTTGTCTTGAGGCACGGTTTTGCCAAGTATTAAAAAAGGGAGAGTAGTTAATAAAGAGCGTCCACCAGACTAATAGCTTTTTTAACTTAAAGTGCTCTTAGAAAGGAAGACACGATCAGCAGCTGCAAATGAACAGTTATTTCAGGATTTTTATTATTGGAAATTCAGCTGTTGTTTTTCTATACTGTCAATGACTATGGGTTTGTATATTTTATTATTCATCAATAAAATAAATGTGTATCTTCCAGTGGCATGTTGTTAATGTAAGCAAACATCACTCTTGGTTTGTTCTTTGTCTTATTCTTTCTTGAGAGAGAGTATTTCGTGGCATAGTGTTCTCATAGGCGTAAAAATAAATGTAAACCTTACACTCATTTGTACTGGCAAAGTACAAATGTGAAAAAGTACACTTTGCCCTTGGAGAGCAAACTGATGTCTGTGGGAGGTCGTGTTCCAGGTTGGATTCTCTTCACAGTTGTGCATCTTCCTCAGTAAACCTGTACTGCCTGTGCATCACAGCTTGCCCTTGGCTGCAGGCAGCAGTACCACACCAGGGTACAGAGCTGTGGACTTCAGGTGACCTTCTTTCAGCCTGCATTCAGGCACTTTGAAGCTAAAGATAATGGTACTGAATGAAAGCACGCTGGCATTGATGTGCTTGGGACCCATGCTTGGTATTGTGAAGTTTTTTGTGGAGCAATTCCTGTGCCAACTCTGTTACATTCATCTCCAGAGTATATGTTTCATACCTGAAGGTCAAAGGTTTGTCTTAACAAAAATGACTTTTTTTTAAAAAAAGTAATATTTAAATTAAAAATAAAGGTTTTGCAGGTCTTTGTTTTATTGTTCCCGTATTGAACATCCCCACCAAAAAAATATTTTGCAAATCAAGTTTTCTATGTTTTTCATTTTTTTTCTGTTTATATATATGTATTGAATTTTTATTTATTTATCTATTTATTTTAAAATAAATAAGTTTTGTCTTATTTCTGCTTCTCCCCTTCCCCAAAGGCTGACAGTTGTACTGGTTCTCAATTCCACCCTGATAAACTTTGAGTTATGTTGGAAAAACTTGTTTTAATTCCTCCATTCCTGTTCTGTTACAGATTTTGACTTGAACTATTTTTGGCATTGGAGCAAGTTTACAGACTACGTGCAGTGTGTCCTGACCTTCACTGGTGTCACCGGTTACATCACTTACCTCTGGCTTGACTCATCTCTGTTCGTGGAAACACTGGGCTTCCTTGCAGTGTTCACTGAGGCTATGTTAGGTGTTCCTCAGCTCTACCGTAACTACCAGAATAGGTCTACAGAAGGAATGAGGTATGGTGTTTGTCTTAAATAAAACAATAAAGTGTGTGCATGTGTGTGTAGGTAAACTTTTGTATAGTGTGGGTATAATACTTTCTGTGTGGGGCGACATCATCTTTTTAAATTTTGCTTGAAAATGCAGCAGTTGTTGGAGTAGGTCCTCTGTCAGCACACGCTGGTGCTGACCTCACTTAGACCTCTGAGGTTGGACCCGTTGTTCAAGTCCAGCTGGGCAGTTCAAAGGTGGAATGTATTTTATTAAAATAAATGTGTAAAACTACTGCTTTTGCCATTAGCAACATATTGTAGTTCAACTCAAGCTGTGCCACACTTCTGATTAGGAATGGACTAAAGAGAAAGTATTTTGAGTCTGCAGCTTGTCACTGTCAAGTGTAACTCACATGTTTGCCCATCACTATTTTCTCACAAATTTATTCATCACTTTTATGTAATAGTGTATTTAAAAATACTGATATTTTAAAAAGCTCAAACATGAGAACGTTTACAGTCACATAAACAAGTGTGGGACAGAAAATTTTAATCTTGTGTCGACTGTTGGGGCATTAAACTAGATTTTTGTTTCATACGGTTTATTGGATATGTCAGTGTTAACACTAAGGTTTCCAAATTGCAAAGGCAACTTGTAAAATCTTTAAGAGAGGAAAGATTCACTGTGGTGCATCACTGCACAGGTCTGTAGAAACAGTTCAGCTGCAAATTCAATTCACTAAGTGCTTTGGTCATTTGTGATTGACTTCTGTTTCCTTGTTTTGAAACACTTTCTCTTTCATTGATTTTAAGCTTGCTAGCCTAATTTTTACGTTTGGTCACAACAAATAACCACCCCCCACCTCTCTCAGTTCAAAGTAACTATGTTTTTTGTGTGTTGATATTGTTTCCCTTGCTTGTTTGGCTTGGAAACACTTATGTTAGCTACTTAAGTTCTTTTCCAGCTTGAAATGTTTTTGAGGGAATGTTTAGAAATCTGCTTTGATGCTCAAGGCATTTTTTGGTTGGGAGTACATTTGGCACAGAGTCAGGATTTTCTTCCAAAATATTTGATTATTTTGCATGCACACAAGTGCCTTGGTATTGTCTGAACGCATGATACCCAGACAACCATTTACCTGCTAGACCTTGTTCATACGCTGGTTTGATTTTTCCCTGTATGTTTTTTACCTATGAGTTGTAATAACAGTAATGCCATATTATAATAGTTGCTGCCAGGTAGTGTTTTGCTTTTCCTTAGTTCCTCTCTGGAGATCTGAGCTTAGTTTTCTAGTCTCCTGTATATGCTATTTCCGTAAAAGAAGGAAAAAAATCTTTGTGTTTTCATGTAAAGCATTAAGCAAAGAATTGCAGAATTCTCAGTCTAAAACTGCTTCAGAAAAGAATGCTGTGTTTAGTCAAGAGAAAACAGCATAAAAGTTCTCATTCCCTTGCCATCAAACAGTACTGGGTCCAAAGGTAGCCATCCTCCTTATCAGCTGTGCCAATGGGTTTGCTGTGGGTTCTACTCCCAAAGCAGTACTTTGTATGACACTGGGCACTGATGAGACTGTATACCACTTAGTGTACATGTACTTATGTTTGTGCCAATGCAGATGTTCATATCTTTCTTTTCTCAGGTTGTACTGTAGTTTTATATATCTTGCTGGAACCACATATACTTTCTAGCTGTATGCAATACTGAGTTGACTTAATGATAAGCATTACCAGGCTGTTCCTACTGTTAGAAGGACTTCTGCTACTATTTTAACAGCTGTCGAAGAAGCTGTTGGAAATTTTTTTTCTCAACTTGCTTTCCTGTGCCTACTTCTCTGTCTAAAAGCATGTCAGAGAAGATACACCAGTCCTGGAAGGACAGAATTGAGCATGCAGCAGTCCAGCCACGCTACTCACAGGACTGAATTTCCGAACTTGCTGATGCCCATGGGGATTTATTTACCACTCCATGCAGAAATAGTGTGCATGTGGATGTTTACACTGTCAAAAGGAATTGAGCTGGTGAGCCTTTGCCTGTCAGTTGGGCCATAATGGCTGGCTGCCAGATATTCTCGTAGCAGTCCTCAGTGGCAAAGTAAAATAGATGAGCTTCAAATATCTTTGTGGCTTTAAACTCAATGGGGAGGGCAATGAGAATTAAGCTGCTCTGTTTAGTCTATTTATTGTATTTAGTGACCTTCTGGACAATTATGTCTTGGTTAGAGATGATAACTTTTTAAACCACAGCAATTTTGTCACCCGCATTGCATAAGTGGAGCCCATGTCCCTGATTTGCATCACAAAATTTACTGAGGTCAGAGAAGAGGTTCCTTGAACGTCCTCATGGCTTGGCTGAGGGAAACAGCAACATGCATCTGTCACTAAATTAGGGTAGAATAGGACACAGCAGCTGATATGTTAAATATATTTCTATTTTAGCAAAAAAATACTTTCCTAAGTGTAAACCAACAAAATAGAGGCAGCGATGCCAACTCTGCTACAGTTGCAATCAGATGCTCCTGGTATTACTCAATGCTTTTGCTTTGGGACAAAAACCATACAGACAAGAATTTCCCTGCTTATTTATTTTTGTGTCCCCTCTCCTGACATACTTGACTTGTAGTTGCTTTCCCCTTCTAATAAGCTGTATTTTAGAGAAAAGGCAGTGTTCAACGTGAGGCACCAGAGAAGGAGGTTCTAGGTCTAGCACTGCTGCACACAAAGGTAGGGACCTCCTGGACAGGACGATAGGACAGAGAATCCCACCCTTATGGGGAAAGCAGCTTTTGCAGAACTCCTGCAGTGGGAGTTGTGTGCTTTTTGGTGGGAAGAATCTCATCTCTGCGGAGGCTCAGGCTCATGCAGGCACTGGTGTTATTATTATGCACCCTTCATAATCTCATTAGACCTGCCTGTACCGAAGGAGGAGTGTGGAGGGTGTTCCTCTTTGTGTACTATGAAAAAGCTGTAGGTGTGCTGTCCTACGCAGGGCTGTGTTAACCCTGGTACTGCACAAGGCGTGGGTTTGCTTCAGGGCAGTCTTTTTTTTTTTTTGCATTCCTGTCCGCTGTCCTGCCCTGTTCTGGGACAATAATTGACCATCATTGAAGGTTTTTCACAAACGCTCATCCAAATCACTTGGCAGTGACCCTCTTTGCCTGTCAACTGCTGCTCAAGCCCCATGGAGCTGTGGTTTCTTTCCAGGCAGTGCTTGGAGTTTCAAAGCTGCTGTGTTGTAGAAACTCCCCAGGTTCAGGAAGGGGATCTGGCAGTAGGACTGAGCTGGGCTGCGTATCTTGGAGTCTGCCTGAGAGGTAGACCTTTCTGCACGTCCTTTGCCAAGTTTGGCCAACACTGGGTGAAAGACTCAAAGCTTTGATACTCAGGGACAGCTGGCACAATCGGTTAGCCTGCTTTTCTGTTCCTTTCAATCTGTCTTGAGAAAGCTGACCTGAAAAGGCTGAACGAGGAAAAATTCGGTATGTCAGATACCATCAACATCTGTTACAGCAATTTTGTTAATATCTGTGGTTCCTTGGGGCAGTTCAGTAAAGGAGGAAGAGAAATAAGCTGGAAAAGGATTTAAAAAGTGCTGAAAAGAAGGAAAATTAAGAGGGGAGAATGTAGTCAATGGCAGTATTGTGGTTTGTTTGTTTTTACTCCAACTCTTGTTTCTCATTGCCAGACCTTGCATGGATGATACCAAAATCAAAAAGAATAGGAGTAGGAATAAAGGATGCCTGTACCAAAATTTTGAAGTAGACACTGTTGAATGTGATGGTTACCTGAGTTGGTAATGCCTTGTGTCTCATCTGGTGCTTTCACCAATGAAAGTACAAAGAGAGTTAATTGTAATTGTATGGTTCACTTGTATAATTCACATGATTTTTCTGGGGAAGTTTTAGTTCTTTCATCATCTTGCTTTGCTGACTTTTCTTCTTTCACTATTATAGCACTGATTAGCTGGTTACTATTGTCCTTTATAGCGACCTTTATAAAAACTGTTCTTTGGGGATTATCGCTTTTGCTCTTTGTATATACATCCAGGTTTGCAGAAATTTATGGAGCAGCCAGTAAAGAGTTTTCATGACAAGATGGACAAGATTTTGGAAGGCTTAGCACTTCTCTCTTTACCTCTTCTCTCTTCACCTCTTCATTTGAGTTTCTAAAGAACACCAGAAACATCAGATTCCCTTTCTGAGTCTGCCTTCTTTAGAGTTAAGTGGGTAAAGCAAGTGTAAGTCCTCAGAAGATTGCTAGCCTCTTCTAAGAGTTACTACATCAGGAAAATAAATGGGCTTGGTCTCTCTTAAGTGCCCTCAGAATGGCATAGAGTCCTCTCTCAGCAGGTAAACAGATAGCATGAAAACCATTTTGTTCCAATCCGTGGAAATAAAGGGCTTCTCTCCTATTTTCCCACCCCTTCTTTTCAGTTCCAGCAAACCCGTGATCGCTCTGCCCTTGGTCCTGTGTCCTTTCCTTCCCTCTTCTGTTCTTCAGTGTCTGCAGAATTTCTGTGGACACATTGCCTGCAGGTTGCTGTGCTGAGGCCAGCACCATGTTCATCTCTGTTTTTGCCTGGCATGTCTCCCCAGAGCTGTTCTCTCGAGATTTGCAGTCACTCAGTGTGAGGCTCCAAAGACAGTTCTTTGTGCCCTGTGTACCCAACACATAGGAATTTCAGGAACTGAAGGAAGAGGCGGGTTGAAAAAAAACACAGGAGGGAGTGTGAGACCTTTCTTCCCTCGCCCTTCCAGCACTTCTGACAGTGTATGAGCAGCAGTATCAGCTTCCTTATGCATCATCCAGATTGTAGCGTGGTATGGATTGCTCAAGCTCGTGTACATATTGAACCTCTTTCTCTTTTCCCTTCCCCTGGCACCTAATCCCATCAGCTCAAAAAGCAAATTCAAAGAAAATGACTTCAAACCAAAAGCATTCATCTTTTACAAATAGTTCAAGGCTTCATCACATTAAAGGGAATAAAGCACTGCCTGCATGTCCAAGCAATGCTCTCTTCGGTTAGT